CGTCCCCCCATCTCCGTCACCCTCGCCTACCATGGAATCTGCCAAGGTTCCCCTGACGCTTTACCATAAGTCTCATGCTAAAAAGCAGGCCTAGTTCATGGAAGCCCAAGTTGAAAGCTAGGCTTGGAAATGAAGATACCAAGAGAGAACAGCACGCTTGCCCTTCGTGATATTTTTTTTTTTAGGGTCTCATGTGGTCCACCTGGAATTCTTAGAGATCACCTGCCTCTGCCTCGCAAGTGCTGGGATGAAAGGCTGCCCCGCCACTGTGAGCTTCTGATTCTCCTGCCTCTCCCCAAGTGCTTGGACCCAGGGTGTACATTAGGCAAGTACGCAGACGACTGAGCTACATCCGTCTTCTCTCTAGCACTATTTTAAGTATTTTAAACAGATTCACATAAGTGTGTGATTAAAGATGTGAGCTCTGTTACTCTTTTAGACTGATCCAATCTCATGTTGTAGCCTTGGATGGCCTTGAACTCAGAGACATCCCTCTGCTTGAGTCCTGGGCTTAAGGTGTGAGCCACCACTGCCTGGCTTCTATGGCTAATTAGTATGCCTGCTTTGCTATTTTGATCTCCAGTGACTTGAATAAATCATAAACAATATATCACCACAGGCAGGCCCTCTGACTTTTTTTGTTTGTTTTGTTTTGTTTTGTTTTTCGAGACAGGGTTTCTCTGTGGCTTTGGAGGCTGTCCTGGAACTTGCTCTTGTAGACCAGGCTGGGCTTGAACGCACAGAGATCCGCCTGCCTCTGCCTCCCAAGTGCTGGGATTAAAGGTGTGCGTCACCACCACCCAGTAAGGACCTCTGACTTGTACTGGGAAGGAATCTTGCCCTCTCAGCAGGGGCTGAAAGCAGTCAGTGTACCTCCTGAGACATGGAATTCACTGGGTGCTAGACGGGAAAGTGAAATGGGCCAGTTCCAAATCCTTGGAGGAAGCCATGTGTGACAGCCATGTGTGGCTAACTTAGCCAGGAACTGAGAGGACCTGTCTAGGCTTTGCAGCCACTGTGAACTTCTCATTTCATTGTGATTTGACTTGTGTTCCCACCAAAATGGCCTGTGGAAGTTCAATCCCTGTCAGAACGCTCTTAGTTAGAATTCTGCTGCAGGCATAATTCATTAAGATGAAGTCGTATATAGTGATTCCCAAGCCAGTGTGAGTGGTGACCTTCTAAGAGGAGAGAAGACACAGACATGATGGAAGATGGCCAGTGAGACGGAGACTAAGGTGGTCCTGGGACCGTGTGAAGCAGGAAGAGGTGAGAAGATGTACTCCTCATAACACTTCAGAGACAGCGTGGTTCTGCCAACCCCTCAGGTTTCATACTTTGATCCTTTAGATTCCTAAGAAGCAATTTCCATCATTTTAAGCAACCTAACTGGCAATATTTTGTCACTGCAACCAAAGGGGATTTCATCCACTCTCCTCAGATTGCCACCAATTTTATTGTAAGTTTGAAAGTGGTTTCCAGGGACTGTAGACAAAGTTTATCTCCCCACAGACTAAAACTTCTAGCTTTCACAAACAGAAGGCTGCTGGCACATACAGAGCCAGGCTCTGGGGTTGTTGGCTCGGTGGCTCGTAAGATGACTGGTAAGATGTCTGGAGCAGAAGGCATTGGGCTCACTCTGAAGAACCTGGGAGATGTTCAGGAAACCCAGGAGGCTGTTCCTTGCAGTAGACCAGCTGATGGTTTGTGGTTCAGTGTGGATTATATATGTCCTTCAAATGTGCCTTAGATGTAGAATTTAGTCACAGTTATTCAAAAGCCACTGAAAGATATAATTAACATTTGAGTTGCACAGTCAACACTGGCTCAGCTTATGTGAAGGGCGGGCTCAGGATTGAATTTCATCCAAGCCATTAGGCTGCAGGGAACCTCTGGGGATGCAAGAAAGAAAAAGTGAGACAATTTTTCTAAATGTTTTTATTTCAACACAAAACAATCAATCTTTGTTGATATATAACATATGGATTCATTATGATCCCTCACTTGGTCTGTGTGACAGTGACATGTTATGACAGGTACTGAGATGTCACATCAAGGAAGTCATGGCAGTTCTTTTATTAAGAGCTCAGAATATTGGGTGTTGTCTTTCTCCCCATCTCACAATTGAGGCTGACCTTGACCGCCTGACTAGTGTGTCACTGTCCATGGTTTACAGTGCCCATTTTCTCTCCTATTCAGTCTGCACTCTTTGGGAGGGAGGCCCTGTGCTCAGCCCCTCTTAAGGGGTGGGAAGTAGGGTGCTATACCATTTCCCTGTAACTGAGAATTTATCATTTCTTGTAGACTCCTGGACACAGATTCTCTATCTGAAAATGTCTTTATTTCTTTGACTTTTATTTAAAAGGTTACAGAATAACACATAGTCTACAAAGTAGCATGGGAAGGCCTTATGTGCCATTATGTAACATATTGCATAAGTATAGGTAATATTAAGATTGAGTTCCTTATGTCATAGTTAGAACTTACCAGCTTTATAGTCGTGTCTGTGTGTCTGTGTACCTGGTTTTTTTTTTCAATCTTACTACAGGTATAGGTCCATATAACTGAATCCGCAGTCACTTTTATTTCCTCTTCAGGTCTTCTTCTCAGGGCTGGAGAGATGGCTCCACAATTAATAGTGAGCACTCCCAGAGATCTTGAATAGCCTCCTAGTCAGTCCTCCAGAAACAATTCACACAATTGATGACATTTTCTATGCTTGTTTGCATTTTTGTTTTAAGGACTTCTGCAGAACCAGGTGTTATGATTTTGCACTGGAGAGACCATAGCAGGTTGAGTCCAAACCACAGCAGGTTGAGGGACAAACATGCCATGCAGACAGAGCTTACATGGGAAGTTTTACTGGGAGAAGGGAAGGGAGAAGGGAAGAGAGCACAGAATGGCCTTGTGAGGAGATGGAGGGAGAAAGAGACAGATGCACAGAGGTGGGGGGGGGGGAGAAAAAGGAAGAAAAGAAGGAAGTAGGCAGAGGACCACACTGCAGCCCAGGGAGGTGATGATACACTGTGCTGTGTTCCCCACACTGCAGCCCAGGGAGGTGAGACACCGTGCTGTGTTCCCCACACTGCAGCCCAGGGAGGTGATGATACACCGTGCTGTGTTCCCAAGGGGCAGGGCCAGGTGTGCCTGGATGTAAAAAGATGAGGAGTTAGGTGTGGCAGGTTAGGGTAATGAGGACACAGAGCTCTTGAGACTACTTCCTGCTGGTCTGGGGGCACTGGCATCTTGGGGGACCTAAGAAAACTGGGAACTAGCCACACCCTGGAGTAGATGTTTGTTAAACTGCTGTCCAGGGTCTATGGAAGCATCCGGTGTCTCTTGGACCTGGTGAGGTACTGGCAGAGCAGAGGACAAGGTTAAGTTTAAGGGGAAAAAAAATTTTTTTGGCCCAGCAGTGGTGGCGCATGCCTTTAATCCCAGCACTCAGGAGGCAGAGGCAGGCAGATCTTTGTGAGTTGGAGACCAGCCTGATCTACAAGAGCTGTTTGCAGGACAGCCTCCAAAGCCACAGAGAAACCCTGCCTCGAAAAAACAAGTTTTTTTCTTTAGGTCCTGGTAATTGAGGGAGGGATGCATCTGACCTGTTTGACGTGAACCTGAGTCAACTTCCTGGAACTTACAAGTTTGAGTTTGCAAAAAGAAATTTTAGACACATTAGCATTTCTACTGTTTGTAATCTGTACTGAATTCACTTTCACAGCATTCATCAAAGAAATCAGGACAGGAACTCAAACAGGGCAGGAACCTTGAGGGGGTCTTGGATCTTCTCTGGGACAACAGTGAGGACAACAGACAGCTCCTCTGGGGTGCACTCCCTTCCCTTGTCAGGGTCCATAAAAATGGCTTCACTTCATTTTGGCTTATGGTTAGAGAGTTCAAACTATCCTTACTATTCCAATGTTAAAGTCATAAGACCTAAAGGTCTAAGGTATAGCTACTGTAGGATGTTATGTCTTATCTAAATAACAAGATACTTGGTCTAAGGTGTGGTTACTCTTAACCCTCAAGACCAGATAACGAGATGGTTAGTCTAAATGTTTGGAGAACTAAGGAAGAAAATCTGTTTGTTTCTTGTATCATAATAAAGAAGTCTTGCCATTTTTCCTTTTTTGGGTTGGGCTATTTTAAGAATGTTGAAGAAGTGCCGGGCATTAGTGGTGCAAGCCTTTAATCCCAGCACTCGGGAGGCAGAGGCAGGCGGATCTCTGTGAGTTCCAGGCCAGCCTGGTCTCCAGAGCGAGTGCCAGGATAGGCTCCAAAGCTACACAGAGAAACCCTGTCTTGAAAAACCAAAAAAAAAAAAAAAAAAAAAAGTTTCCATGTGAGTGGGGAAGTGGTGCAGCATACCTTTAATTCCAGCACTTGAGAGGCAGAGGCAGGAGGATCTCTGTGAGTTGGAGGCCAGCCCACAGGCTCCAAAGCTACATAGAGAAACCCCTTTCTTGAAAAAAGTTTCCATGTGTTGGTTTCTAGTGGGCTTACCTTGAAACATTGTGTCATTGGTTTCTGTTCTGTTATTTTTATTAGCTCCTGTGTCTTATTTACTTGGAGATTCTGCTTGTCTTTTTTTTATTATTAGTCTTTTAAGGCAAAAGACTATTGGTTTAAGAATTTTATTGTATATTTATTTTGTTAGTTAGAATATTATAGGTGTGTTACATTTGTGCTGTGGAACATTTATTTAATGATGTAAAGATGTGTTGCATTCTTTAATGTTGCATTTGTTTAACAATGAGAAGCTGTGTTACTGTGCTTGTCTAAAACACCTGATTGGTCTAATAAAGAGCTGAGCAGCCAATAGCTAGGTAGGAGATAGAAATAGGGAAGGCTGGCAGGCAGAGAGAATAAAGATGAGGAGAAATCCAGGAGAAGAGAAAAGGAGGAGAGGAGGACACCAGGGACCAGCCACCCAGCCACAGAGTAAGAAGGAAAGAAAGACATACAGAATAAAGAAAGATTAAAAAAATAAAAATATAGAAGTTACTGTGAATTCCATACATTTTGATCATATTTATTTGTCGATTCCTGCTCCTCCCAGACCCCTCTTCCACCTGG